GTGGTGGGAAGGCATGTGACAGGCGGTACATTCTCCAATTGAGGAGAAAGGTATCCCCCTTTGAGTCAGTTCCTATTCCGGCTCTTGAACAGTAAAGGCGACACTTTTTGTTGCACCGGGTCACAAAGAGATTTATGTCTGGGTATCCCCAAGACTGAAAAACATCGCGAACTACATCATCGAGCAGTTCCCATTTGTGTTGCAGATGGAAGGTCCTGCTCAGAGCATCTGCAATGGTATTGCTCTTGCTGGGGAGGTAAGCAGCTGTGAGTGTAATACCATGCCGAATTGCCCAATTCCATAGCCGTATGGCCTCTGCACACAGGAATTTGGATCTGGCACCACCTTGTCGATTTATGTAGTAGACTGTGCATATATTGTCCATAAGAATCTGTACAGTGGTCCCTCGCAAATATCGGACGAACTGGCGGCATGCGTTGAAAACTGCTCGAAGCTCTAAAAAATGTACATGAAGTAGGGACTCGTGAGGTGACCACAAACCCTGGACTTGATGATGTTGCATATGTGCTCCCCAGCCAATAAGGGATGCATCCGTGGTGATCTGGATGGATGGGGCTTGGACATGGAAGAAAACGTCCACTAATGTGTTATTCGAGTCGAGCCACCATGCGAGGGAGTCCCTCACCCAGTTGGGGATAGAGGTAAGTTTGTGGGTATCGTCTATGGCCAGTTTGTAGATTAGAAGGAGCCAGTGTTGAAGGCACCTCATGTGGAGCCGGGTGTGAGGAATGACGTAGGTTGCTGCTGCCATGTGGCCTAGCAACTGGAGACAAGTAAGTATGGAGACGGTGGGAGCGGTGAGCAGAATGTTTAATAGCTCCTGAATAGTTTGAGATCTGTCGACTGGTAGATAGGCAGTAGTGGTCGTAGAGTCCAGCCTTGCTCTGAAAAAGTCAATGGACTGGGATGGAACCAGGGAGGACTTTGGTAGGTTGATGATGAGACCGAGGGCCTCAAATATGTCCCTGGTAGTAGCTACTGCCTTCTGTGCCTCGACTGCCGAGTAGGCTCTTATGAGGCAGTCGTCGAGGTACAGAAAAATTGTGATCCCAGAATGTCTGAGGTAAGCGGCTACGACTGCCAGGGTCTTTGAAAATACCCTTGGAGCAGCCGAAAGCCCAAAGGGAAGCACTGTGTACTGATAGTGGTCGTTGCCGAGGGTAAATCAGAGAAATTTCCTGTGGGCTGGGTGGATGGCGACATGAAAATAGATGTCCTGAAGGTTGAGGGACACAAACCAATCCCCTTCGCTGAGAGTTGGAATGATAGAGGCCAGAGTAACCATCTTGAATCTTTGTTTTCTTAGATAACGGTTGAGCCCATGAAGGTCGAGGATCAGTCTCCATCCGCCGGACTTCTGCCTGAGGAAGTATTGGGAATAGAAACCTTTGCCTCTGAATTGACGTGGGACCATCTCCACCACTCCGATGGTAAGTAGACGCACAACCTCTTGTCGCAACGGGTTCGTGAGAGAGGTTCCTGAAAAGGGAAGGGGAAGAAGGGCTGGAAGGGGGGAGGGTAGTGAAAAGAATAGAGAGACCAGATGTTATGATCTCTCTGACCTATCGATCTGTGGTGATGGTGAACCAATGACAGCGGTAGGGTCTCAATCGGTGATGGAATAATCTGGTTACTTGAGAGATGGCCTATAAAAGGGGAGTGGTGTGCAGACCTTTGACAGGTGTGTCAAACCTGCTGTCGAGACTGTTGTTGGGTCTGCGTCTTGGTAGGCTGTTGGCGCCATCGTTGCCTTTGTTTGTGTTGGTCGTAAGGCTTGAATCGCTGTGATGTTTTTTGTGAGAGGTGGATTGAGTTGTGGAGGAGTAGTTTTGCTGCATCCTCCTCCTGTTAGGACGTTGCTTGGGCCTGTTGTCATATGGTCTCTGCTGTTGTCTATAGTAATTGTAATTATAGTCCCTAGCCCTTTGATAGAGGGTATATTTACATTTCTTATTAGGTGGGGTGCACATCCCCAGAGTGCAGAGTGTCATTTGAGAGTCCTTCATTGAATGTAGGCTCTCATCTGTGTTGTTAGCAAATAGCTGTTTTCTTTCAAAGGGGAGATCCTCCACCCTTGATTGGAGTACCAAGAGAACTGCAATGATTGTAGCCAGAAGACTACCCATTACAATGGCAGTGGCTGTAGCTCAAGAGGTGGAGTCTGTGACATCCATAGCGGCCTGGAGAGCAGTTTTTGCTATTGATAAATCCTCCTTAATAATGGATTGGATGTGAGGTTATTTATTGTCAGGGAGGCCCTGTAGCAGGTTTTGTAATTTGACATAGTTGGCGTGATCATAATTGGCCAGAAAGGCTGTATAATTTGATATGTAGAACTGGAACGTGGCAGAAGAGTACACTTTGCGGTCAAAGGTGTCTAGCTGTTTGTGTTCTTAGTCATGGGGCATAGACTTAAACTGTGGGTTCTTAGCCTTGTGATTAAGTCCACCACCAGTGAGTTCAGTGGGGGGTGTGCAAAGAGAAAATCCATGTCTTTTGCAGGGACAAAATATTTTCTATCCGCTCTATGGTTTGTCGGCGTAACAGAGGCTGGATTTTTCCACAGATCATCTGAAGGTTTAAGGCCAACTTAATTGATTGGTAAAGCTACCTTCGAGAATGCTGTTGGTTGTAATATTGTGAGTAATTTGTATTGTTTATCTTGAACCTCTTGTAATGTGATGTCTTGGGATTGGGCTACACATTTAAACAATTCCTGAAATTATTTCAGATCATGTGCCATTGGAGAAAGTGAGGTCTGAAATACCGCTTTGTCTTGTCTGGATCTAGGTTTGTGTGAGGAGCTCTCCAAATCTGAGTGAGGTGAGTTGTCGTGCTCATTAGAACCCACTTGAGAGATTACTGAGGGCAGGTGAGCAGGTGAGAAGCACGCAGGGATGGTGGGTTAGCGTCTGGAAGTGTGCTGTTGTACAGATGTAGAGGCTGTGTCTTGAGTGACAGGCATAGGAGGAATGTGATTGGTACCCTTGCCATGTGTCCCAGAGGGTCCACTCAGGCTGGAACTGATGTGGGGGTACATCCACAGTTGGTTGGACCACATAGGATACTGCTGGAGGGAATGGTCTTTGTATGAATGCCAAGAAGCCAATGATGGAGGAGAGGAATGGAATGACAAGAACCTGCTCCTATGCCCTCTACCATAATAAGATCTTGGGGATAGCGGTGTAGGGGGGCAACCTGTGGCATCTTAGCATGCCCTTGCACTGTGGAGTGTGGCAAGCAAGCTGTCTCCCCATGTCATGTGAGGAGATTTTTGTAAGTGCCGTGTTTTGTGCAGCGTTTTTTTATGCTGCAGTGCCAGGGGACAGTCAAGGTCAGTCTGCCCGGTTTGTTCGGACATCGAGCGAGAGCTCACAGCAGCCACAGGTGGAGGCATATGTGGCTTCGCTGATGCCACTGCCTCTGTGGCGCCCGACAGTGTGGCGAGTTTAGATTCTGCCTCAGCTCTCCTGGCTGATGCAGACTTGCATTTCTCCATGGTGCTGGAGACTGATGGCACAGGGTAACAAGAGGCTCTAGGCTGTGCTGATAACGAATGTGCTAGGGAAACCCTTGTGGCTTGAGAGTCTTTGTGGGGTGATAAAGCTGCCCTATCAGAGGGCTTTTGCTGTCCCCTCACTTCCTCTGGTTTGTCCCCTGAAGATTGAAGAGACTTTTCCCAGAGGAGGGTTTTAAGCCGCATTTCGCGGTCTTTTCTGGCTCTGCCCGTTCTATTCAGGCAGTGAGGGCTCTTATGTGCTGCTTGGGACTCCCCCAGGCATTTGACACAGGAAGCATGGCTGTAAGAGGTAGGCATCAAGTTTCTGCATGAGTTGCATCTTTTAAAGCTGGGGGAACCTAGCATGTTGAAGAGAAGATGTGGTGGCAGCGGCTGCTGCTTTTTTTTTCAAATGTAACCAATGTTGACACTAGCTATAACTAATGAAATTGTGAGGTAAAGCCTAAACTAATTAAAAACTTCTTGTTCCCCTGTGAAGAAGAAGAGGGCTGCCCTGAACTCTGTCTTCAGCCAAGGACTGTTGAAAAGGAACTGGTGGGACTTGCGCAGCGTGCACACTCCACAAACAGCAGGGACGTGAGACGCTAGGTGTGCAGATGTGGTGTGAGGGACACTGCTCTGCACACCTCTCTGATCCCCGGTGCGAGGACCTGAATGGAGTACTGAAGAAAGGTCAATTCTCACTTAAAGACAACTCTAGAACCTCAAACAAATTATTTCTGGTAACCACACAGCACAGCTACATCATAAGCATTCAGGAACCCATCCCTGAAATCAACCCTGGTGCCAACTCTGCCCACAAATCTACACAAACTTTTTCATCACTGGACTCAAGCACATCAGCCACCAAATCAGAGGCTCATTTAACTGCACATCCACGAAACCTTTTTAGGCTCAGGGGCCACTGACCAACCAAAAATCAGTCAGGAGCTGCACACAAGTAAGAAGCAAAAAATCCCCTCCAAAACCCCTCACTGATGTGACCCCTCACATTTCCCTTGCATACCAGAACCTAGGGGAGTACAGGCTAGTAGATTTTGTGTGCTCCAGCTCCATGGTGAGGCAGTAGGGGGCTGGAGCACCAGCGCAGGCTCTCCAGTATTGGGGGAGGCCCTGAGTCTTGGGAGCCATATCCAGGCAAGCCAGTCACCATATCTAGCCCCCAGGGCTGAGGTTCCCCATCCCTGCTGTAGATGGATTGAACAGATATTACTAAGAATAGAATTTGACCCATGAGCTTTATTATGGCTAAGTATTTGGCTATGGGGCCAAATCAGTATTCCACTAGACCTGTTCTGTGTGAAGGTTTCTACTAACTTAAACACTTAATTTCACCTATTGTTGAAATGCATTTGTATATGAAATATAATATTCTAAGAACGGAAAGTCATCTACCAAATGTATTATAGGAACTTTTATTTAAAATCACAAATAATGATAATTTTATTAAATAAGATACCTTTTGTACTTCATGGTAGTGATCTAAAGCTATAATCCAGTTACACATGGAGCAACAGGCAATAGAAACTAGTCCCACTTTCGATGGGCTAAAATCAGGTGATTTTACATATCTTTTCAATTGCAGAAACACCTAAAAACCAAACAGGTTAAATTTTAGAACATGACTTAAAAGTTCCCGCAGATTTGAAATGTTATTACAGGATTCTTTGTTACTTTAGGAGAAGACCACAGAAAATCTTTTTGGGTATTTTTAATCATTAGCTGTAGTTATTAGTTTATTGGTTATTTATTAGCTATTCCATTTCCTTGTACTGACACTGGACCCTGAATTCCTAAACCATCCCTGACATGTGTCTGTCTCACCTGTTCTTAAAAACATTCAATGATAGGTATTCTACAAATTCCCTTGGCAGTCTATTCCATTATTTAACTATCCTTATAATTAAAAAGTTTTCCCTTATATCTAATTTAGATCTCCCTTGTTGAAAATTAAGTTGATTACTTCTTGTCTTATCAGGTCAGCATTGTCTTTATAACAGCCCACAGCATATTTGAACAAAAGTATCTGGTCCTCTCTCAGTCTTTGCTCAAGACAAAATATATCCAGTTTTTTTAACCTTTCCTCACAGGTCAAGTTTTCTAAAACCATTATTATTTTTGCTACTCTCATCTGGATGCTTTTCAAATTGTCCACATGCTTCTGAAAGTTTAGTCACAATATTACAGCTGAGTCCACACCAGTGCCTGGAACAAAATCTGTGCAAATTGTCAGGCTCTGGGTTTGAGACAGGAAGGTCTGGTAGTTAAAGATGTGGTTAAGAAGAGATATAAAGCTGAAGATGGCCATAGTTTTGGGCAACCCTGAAACTGAGTTAGGGATAGGCTATGGATCAGAACTGAGGTCAGAGTTCATAGACAAGCCAAATCAGGATTGTAGTTTGAGTCTAGATGTAGGCCAAAGATTGAAGCTGGGTGGGAATCAGTCTGAGGGGTCAGGAAGTGAAGGCAGGGCTGGAGTGGATCAATAACAGGGTTGGAGCATGATAAGATCATACAGAGTCAATTTGTGGATGTCGTGAAGACCAGGACTTTAACAGTGTTCAAAAAAGAACTAGATAAATTCATGGATAAATTCACTGTAGTGGCTACTGCTATAGTGAACTAGCCGCACTCAACCAGCCAAATAGCCACATGTGGCTAGCATGTTGGACACCATGGATCTAGTTCATCCCTGATAGATGTCTATATAACCTACTCTTAAATATCTTCAATGATGGAGATTCAACAACCTCCCTAGGCAATTTATTCCAGTGTTTAATCATCCTGACAGTTAGGAAGTTTTTCCTAATGTCCATCACAACATCCCTATGCCTTAATATTAAGAAGAAAATTCTGGTGAGGGAAGAGAGATTAAAAGGCTTCCTAAATAGCAAAAACTTAAATTTGCCAATAGGCAATTAATCCTATATTTTCCTAAACTAACCCCAAAATGTGCAGCAGAACTAATATAATAAGCTACAAAGTGATGTGTCATGGATCCTAGGAAGCACTGTCTTACAGCTATAGGCAGCGAGAAGGAAATGAGTTACAGTTGGATCCCTCCACCTTTGATGCCCTCAAAATAAATGCTGCTGACAAAAAAGAAACATGGAGAGCATGTACACCAAAACAAACAGATATACTAACAAGTACTTAAAGAAGAAACTAATGTCTGATTTTTTTTCTAAAAGCATTACTTTCATTTTTTTTCTACATACTGTTAGAAAAGGGAAAATTCTGTGTTTCTCCAGTTCTGAATTAAGTACTAAACTAGTTGAGGGGTGGAAAAAGAACCTCCTCCCAGCTCAACTATCTCTGCACTTCGTTTTATCCTCAGCCTTCATCTGAACTCAGAGCAGCCAAAGACCTGATCTAAATTGTGCCAGTTTGCAATAGTTCGCTATGGGTCATTACACTGGCACACAGCACAATGTACTCAGGACTTTCTGTTTCCTCACCCTCACAGCCTTCCTCTGACATCGTCCATACTTCTAGACCTGCCACAGAATCCAGCATAAAGATATTATTTCAGGTCTATACTGGGAAGAGAAAGTCTATCCATGATAGACTTTATTTTATTGCAGAGGTTGTTTCTGCTTCTGTCCTCTTTGCAACTCCTTCATCCTGCCACAGTGACTGCAATATCAAACTGAATCTTGTCTAAAAGTATTATATACAAACTTCAGGCTTTTATTGAGACAAAACCAATACCCTTTGAAAAACCCTAGAGGAAGAACTGAAGATGAGTTATTAAGCACTAATTCCTTCCATTTACCTTTTCTGGTAAATTATCTTTATCCAGAGTAACCAATTTTTTGAGGAATCCTGGATCAGCAAGGAGGAGTTTTGCTGTTGCCCAACTAGGTTTCTTTTGCAGAAGAATGCAAACTGCATTCATAACAGTTAGTACAAGAGGAGGAGGATGAGTATATACTCTGTTAAAAAAAATGAAACATTTGAGAAATTAACAAGAATCAGCAATTTCATACAAAACATTTTTACAAAGAAAATACTGTGCGGTGTATCTTCTTTTAAAGTATCCACTATTGGCTCACCTCAAAGACAGGCTACTGGATTAGATGGTTCAAAAGTCTCATCTACTAAGTTAATACTAATTTCTGTGTTCTTACTAATTAGTATATAACTATAGCACAAAGCACTGAGATTATACAAATAGAATTCACATACTTCTATAATCATAGAGAAAAACTACTGAGATCTGATGACATCATCCTTCACCTCTTTTCCCTGAGAAAAGTTTGTGCATAAAAGTGTAGAAAAACAATTATGGGGGTAGTGAGTGTGTCTGTGCCTTGATTTAGCAAGAGAATAAAGTAACCCATAAGAACTAATTGGACACATGAAAGCATAAAGAATTAAGAATAAAAAAATGATTTAGTGTGAAGTGCAGCACTGTTTGCACTTTGAAAATAATTTTATTTAGTTATGGATACTCTGTATGGAAGGAATTCAGGTGGAAATCTTTGCTCGGTTGTGTAATTTTTCAACATTGTTATTCCAGAACTGAAGATTGCTATTAGTTGGAACAGTCACAAAGTTTTAAAACAAAACAGACGTACCTGAGTTCTGCAACGTGAGCTTTGTCCAATGAATCTAGAGCTGTGAGGGCTTTTTCCAAAGCTGGCATTACAGCATTTAGCTCTTCAGTTGCTTTCTATGTTATAAAACAGAAAAACAAAATTCTACAACCCACATAAGAAGGTTAGAGTTGGCATTTTCCTTTGGCAGTATGTATTTGACCAAAAACATTTTTCTGTACACTGCAGTAGGAAAACATTTGTTTTGCAAGTCACACACACAGAAAGATGATTTATAAAATAGTAAGGTAATTTTACTATTTGCACAATTGCTTTTCTAATCAAAATCATGCTTGAAAAATCTAAAAGAGACCTAACATTTTTTCCTACTTCCAATTTTATATTTTTGTGAAAATTCCTAACAAACCAATATATATGCTGGAGGCATATGAAAATTTATGCAGTTCTTGGAACTATTTATTATTATCATAAATAGAACTGGATCTTGCAAGGTTACTAATGCCCAGAGTGTTTTAATGCTTTGTAAATCTAGGCCAACAGTAACCATAAACAGTAAGAGACCACAAGAGACTCAGTACCTGGGCATATTCTTCTACAACTTTTGTTTCTTCAGCCATTATTTCTTCATCCTGTTTAACAAGGGTTCGAACCTGCTCCACTACTATTGAGTCTCTATGAAGTTTTTCCACAAGTTCTTCTATCTCCTAACAAGGGGAAATAAAAGGTTTTCTTTTGAAATTTTGATTACAGAATTTCAAATATGCTTGGTGAGATGATTGAGTAGTGAGTAGTGAGAAGGCAAACATTTCAGAAACCAATTGTGTTTTTCTTTTTTAATCATGAGCTAACCAGGAAGTTGACTTGTCTTTTCTGTGTTTGGGACCTGGTCTACACTAGGGCTGAGTCTAGATTGGCATGATTTTGCGGAAATACTTTTAATGGAAAAGTTTTTCCATTAAAACTATTTCCGCAAAAGTGTGTCTAGACTGGCACGTATGCTTTTGCGCAAAAAGTGTTTTAGCCTTTTAGCCATCAGGGCTTTTTTGCGCAAAACAGTTCTTCCCTGTCTACACTGGCCCTCTTGCACAAGAGGACTTTTCCCGAGCGGGAGCATGAAAGTATTTGCGCAAGAAGCACTGATTTTGTACATTACAAAGTCAGTGCTCTTGCGCAAATTCAAGTGGCCAGTATAGACAGCTGGCAAGTTTTTGCACAAAAGCGCCTGCTTTTGCGCAAAATCTTGCTAGTACAGACGCACCCTAGGAGTTTAGGTCAAACTTCGCTTCATTAGGTCGATTTTCTACACAATAAGTCCACATCACCAAAGATGTGCCACTGACTTTCAGAGCTATTAAAGTCATTTTTGGTACTCCTGCTCTTCACGAGGAGTAACAGTATATTTGACCTTGCATGATCCACTTTAGGGTAGTGCAGATGTAGCGCTGTGAAAATTGATGTTCTTGGCCTCCGGGAGGTGTCCCACAGTGCCCCAATGTGACTGCTCTGGCTAGGACTTATAATTTTGCTGCTCTGTATTTGCGATCAGGTTTGCCACAAAGCTGTAACACATGAGCAAATACTCAATACTAGCATTGACCAGAAAGGGTAATTCCCACCCTTCCCCATGGGAATTTTCAAAATGGAGAATAATCCATATTTGAAATTTTTCTATTTGGGAAATGATTAAGAAAAAATACTGAGGCAGTGGGATTAGAGGGAAAGCTACTTTTTCTCACTCTCTCTGATTGTCTTTCAAACAGCAAAAATTGGAAAACAGACAGAAGGTGTGGAAAAATGTTGGCTTCTGAAAGTAGAGCCATGTCTACCATAGAGACCCAAACTGGCATAACTACATTAAAATCCACACCTCATTGTGCTGCAGTTATACCAACCTAACTCCCCCTGTAGACAGTGCTGTGTCAACAGGTGAGCTTTACCCTTTGACTTGTGGGTGGATTCACATCACAGATGGGAAAAGCTTTCCTGTCAGCGTAGCAGCATCTTCACTTACACACTACAGTGTTATTTTAACACATGAAAATATCACTGCCCCGCCCCACACACTTTCCTAAGCCTTTTTTTTTTTAAGAACTTTTTCCAGGGGAAAAGTTTTGTGAGAAGAAAAGCAACCCCCTATTTACAATGAGAAATGTTTCAAATATCAAAAAAAAGTATGCTCCGTTTTTAAAAAATTAGAAAATGAAAAGATTGGTTGAATTTATGTCACAAAATTTTCATTTTAGGCAAAACTCATTTTTTTTGACAGACTTCTGACTGTCTTTTCAAAATAATCTAATAAGTCAAATTCTGCCCTGGTACACTTGTGCAACTACATTGAAATTATTTTAGTTGCCAGGGTATTACACAGGTAGGATTTAGCCATATGACTTTAGGAGGAGAAAGATAAATGTTCTTAGTGGGTTGTTCTTCAGTTGTTCTGCAGATTTGGGAGTCCTTAGTTTTTTGGTTGTTATTAGATTAGCACATAGACATTTTTGTATCTGGAACGCACAAGTCCATGCTTTGCTTGTATTGCTTTGCTTAGAGATAAGAACATTATGGAAGTAGAGGTCAATTTTCTTGAGGTGATTGAAAAGATTCCTCAATGTAGAAGAGCAAATGTAATTGTCAGCCAAGATCAGTGAGACAAGGTGGGTGAGATTTCTTTCATTGGACCAATTTCTTTGCTAAAATAACAAGTACTCCTGTGGCACCTTAGAGACTTAGGCTATATCTAGATGACAGGGTTTTACCGGAAAAGGGTATGCAAATTGCGCTCTGCTAATTGCGTGCCTTTTTCTGATAGTTTTGTTGGAAGAGGGTTTTCCAAAATTTGGCCCAGTGTAGACTGGCCAAATTTCAGAAAAGCCTCTTTCAACAAAACTTTTGGAAAAAGGTTATGTTCCAATAAAACACTGTAGTCTAGATGTAGCCTAATATATACTGGATTTCTCAATGACTAGACACATCTTGGCATCACAGTTTTTTTCTTTTTTTTCCCTGTCCCTGTCAAATGATTTGTTGCCTCCTAAACATTCTCAGGCTGCAAGAAGAGACTGAAACATTACCAAAAGAACAAGTGAGGAGTTTAATGTGTGGCTCTTTTTATGAATGCTGTTTGAATCTCAGTGTAAACAAAATGCACAAGTCAATTGTGCCACCTATGCTAGGAATTCCAAAGCCTGAAGATCATTCAACTGTTTTTGAAAAGCCAGCCATGTTTTGCTAAACTGGATTGGGAACTTTTTTAAGGCACAGTCTTTGAATGAGAGGAAATGAAAGCAACAAGGAGTCCTGTGATACTTTAGAGGCTAACAGATTTATAAGGACATAAGCTTTCATAGGTAAAACCCACTCCATCAGATAAATTGGATGGAAATTAGAGAGGCAGGGGTAGATATAAAAATAAAAGTAATTATCGTCAAAAGAAAAGGTTGTGCATAAAAGTGTAGAAAAACAATTATGGGGGTAGTGAGTGTGTCTGTGCCTTGATTTAGCAAGAGAATAAAGTAACCCATAAGAACTAATTGGACACATGAAAGCATAAAGAATTAAGAATAAAAAAATGATTTAGTGTGAAGTGCAGCACTGTTTGCACTTTGAAAATAATTTTATTTAGTTATGGATACTCTGTATGGAAGGAATTCAGGTGGAAATCTTTGCTCGGTTGTGTAATTTTTCAACATTGTTATTCCAGAACTGAAGATTGCTATTAGTTGGAACAGTCACAAAGTTTTAAAACAAAACAGACGTACCTGAGTTCTGCAACGTGAGCTTTGTCCAATGAATCTAGAGCTGTGAGGGCTTTTTCCAAAGCTGGCATTACAGCATTTAGCTCTTCAGTTGCTTTCTATGTTATAAAACAGAAAAACAAAATTCTACAACCCACATAAGAAGGTTAGAGTTGGCATTTTCCTTTGGCAGTATGTATTTGACCAAAAACATTTTTCTGTACACTGCAGTAGGAAAACATTTGTTTTGCAAGTCACACACACAGAAAGATGATTTATAAAATAGTAAGGTAATTTTACTATTTGCACAATTGCTTTTCTAATCAAAATCATGCTTGAAAAATCTAAAAGAGACCTAACATTTTTTCCTACTTCCAATTTTATATTTTTGTGAAAATTCCTAACAAACCAATATATATGCTGGAGGCATATGAAAATTTATGCAGTTCTTGGAACTATTTATTATTATCATAAATAGAACTGGATCTTGCAAGGTTACTAATGCCCAGAGTGTTTTAATGCTTTGTAAATCTAGGCCAACAGTAACCATAAACAGTAAGAGACCACAAGAGACTCAGTACCTGGGCATATTCTTCTACAACTTTTGTTTCTTCAGCCATTATTTCTTCATCCTGTTTAACAAGGGTTCGAACCTGCTCCACTACTATTGAGTCTCTATGAAGTTTTTCCACAAGTTCTTCTATCTCCTAACAAGGGGAAATAAAAGGTTTTCTTTTGAAATTTTGATTACAGAATTTCAAATATGCTTGGTGAGATGATTGAGTAGTGAGTAGTGAGAAGGCAAACATTTCAGAAACCAATTGTGTTTTTCTTTTTTAATCATGAGCTAACCAGGAAGTTGACTTGTCTTTTCTGTGTTTGGGACCTGGTCTACACTAGGGCTGAGTCTAGATTGGCATGATTTTGCGGAAATACTTTTAATGGAAAAGTTTTTCCATTAAAACTATTTCCGCAAAAGTGTGTCTAGACTGGCACGTATGCTTTTGCGCAAAAAGTGTTTTAGCCTTTTAGCCATCAGGGCTTTTTTGCGCAAAACAGTTCTTCCCTGTCTACACTGGCCCTCTTGCACAAGAGGACTTTTCCCGAGCGGGAGCATGAAAGTATTTGCGCAAGAAGCACTGATTTTGTACATTACAAAGTCAGTGCTCTTGCGCAAATTCAAGTGGCCAGTATAGACAGCTGGCAAGTTTTTGCACAAAAGCGCCTGCTTTTGCGCAAAATCTTGCTAGTACAGACGCACCCTAGGAGTTTAGGTCAAACTTCGCTTCATTAGGTCGATTTTCTACACAATAAGTCCACATCACCAAAGATGTGCCACTGACTTTCAGAGCTATTAAAGTCATTTTTGGTACTCCTGCTCTTCACGAGGAGTAACAGTATATTTGACCTTGCATGATCCACTTTAGGGTAGTGCAGATGTAGCGCTGTGAAAATTGATGTTCTTGGCCTCCGGGAGGTGTCCCACAGTGCCCCAATGTGACTGCTCTGGCTAGGACTTATAATTTTGCTGCTCTGCAGGTGCACAGGAAAAGCCCTGGAAAAACCTGAATTCCAGCATAGCAAGCAGACCTCAGAGCAGGCCAGCATGGTGAGCAGACCTCAGAGCAGGCAGCATGCCTCAGCAGTATACCTGACCATGAATGCCCAGAGTAAAAAAATGAGCTCCATCATGGAGAATTCAGGCAATCTTAGATCTGCTTGCTGTGTGGGGAGTGGAATCTGTTCAGGCAGAACTATGAAGCAGCAAAAGAAATGCTGATATCTATGACAAGATCGCACAGAGCATGGAGGAAAAAGAATACGCCAGGGATGCCCAGCAGTACCACATGAAAATAAAGGAGCTCACATAGTTGTATCAGAAGACAAAGGAGGCAAACAGACAATCTGGATCAGTGCTGCAAACATGCTGCTTCTATGAGCAGCTTCATAGGAGTCGAGTGGGGACTTGGCCAATTTCCGAACCCAATTCATGGGTTCCTCCCAAGACAGCCTTGGGAGATAACGCAGAGGACAGTGTGGATGAGGAAGAGGAGAACTGGTCAGCAGGGAAGTGGAGCATCCCATCTCACAAACAGCCAGGATTTTTTTTATAACTTTGGAGACAATCTCCTACTCCCAGGACATATCGCTGCTGGACCCTGATGGCAAGGAGGGCACTTCTGGTGTGTTCACATTTTTAATCATGCTGCAAGTGGGTTAAGGCAATTGGGCATGATCTGTGGTGACCACTCTACCTGCACAATGAGGGTTCCCGGAAAAGTTTGTTAATGTGTCTGGAGACAGAATGGGAATCCTTCCTCTACATATCCATAAAGCTCTCATAGAGGTGCTCTTTCATCCTTCTGACAAGATTTCTGGGAAGCCCTGCCTTATTCTGTCCTCCATGGTAGGACAACTTTCCACGATGAGCCAGTAGTAAGTAGTCTGGCATCATTGCAGCACAAAACACTGAAGTATAAGGTCCAAGTTTCTGGCCACATACAGTCAGCATCCACTCCCTTTTATTCTCTGTGATTTAGAGCAGACTGATATCAAGTATGGCAATCTGGATGTAGGAAAAGCTATATAACAGATACTATTGCAGTACACTGTTGGGATTTTTCAAAGTTAATTGGGGTTTGGAAAGGCCCGCAACCTTGGTGAGGGTCTGGCCAAGGCAGGCATTTTCCTTGCTAAATTATAGGCCAGTTTTCCTTTTACATGAGACCCGCTTTCTACCTCCTTGCTGCCTGTAGGAAAGATAAGTGAGGCCCGTTTTCTCCTCCTTTGCCACTGCTGAGATTGTTGCTCTAAATTGCAACTTGATAAATGTACCCATTGTTAACAGTGCCTCATTCTATCTCTTGCTTGTTCTTACATGCTGCAAAACTTATCAGGGCCATAGCTTCTTTCCCCCTCCCTGTAAGCTGCTGATTAAGACAGTATGTAAATTCAACTAAAAACCAGTAAACAACAAACAGTGGTGGATATAATTGTATTTATCACCTGCTTATTAATATTCATTATATGGGAGTTAATCTTCCTAAATAAGGGTTTATGGAAAGTAGTAATTAATGTGTGAATTTACATATTAAAACATATAAAGGAGTATAACTGCTGCCAAATCATTGGCACTCGCAATGTGTGTTAGGGATCCAAGGTAAATGTGCATGAGCAATAAAGTGGTCCAATTACTCCATCCACTCCTGAGTCTCCTGCTCCTTCTTCTTCCAACATACATCTCCATTTGTTCATCCCCAACACAGCATGATTTGAGCCCTTGCCCTTCTGCCATTCCTGGAACTCCTCCCACCTGCAGGCTCCTGTGGGAAGGGAAAGTTGCACTCTCCTGGCAAATGTGGGGTGCCGAACACATGATCACTATGTGAGCCCCTGCCCTGCTGCCATGCCTAGATCCCTCCCTCTCTCTTCTGCCCACAGGTTCCTCTGTGTCCATGTGAGTGAGCTCTTGCCCTGTCACTACAGCAGACCCCTTTACTACCTGCATGCCCAGCCCGGCTGCGGCAGCTGGCGCCCCAGGCGGAAGGCGTGATCAGCGCCCCTGCCTGCACAGCTGTCAATGGCCGTGACGTAATCATCAGGTGCCCGGGTGCCCCGTGACATCATCATTGGGCGCTCTGGGCTGGCGACGCCCTAGGTGACCGCCTAGTCTGCCTAGGCTCACGGGCCACCCCGATTGCATGTACCTGTGTGAAAGGAAAGTTGCAATCTCCTGGCAAACAAGGGGTGCCAAACACATGGTTACAGTGTGAGACCCTGCCCCCACACCCACCATGGCCCCCCTTTGCAAATGCAGATGATTGCCTAGCTGATGGAGCTGCTATTTGCAAGCACTATGTGTCACATGCTTTCAAAGTGGAAGCAAAAGAGCAAGCTCTGAGCTGTCCCTTATTATGCCTGCTACCCAACAGAGTCCAGCTGCTCTCTTAAGATCTCTGTGTTGTACTTGCTACATAGTGGGTGCTTAAAAGAATAATTTTGGTGTTTTGTTCATAACACATGCCTATTGTCTTGGACAGACTTCTTTTATGCAAAGGGTTTAGGTTTTATGTTCCACAATTTATCTCCTGGAAAGTCTGCTCTTGCAACAGCAAGCCTGTTGCCCACTTCCCTGGCTCCTCCAGCTGTTTGGCTAGAACAAATCAGAAGGTGAAAACATAATTGGGATGACATGTTAAATGAGCAAATGGAATACACCCACTTGGACAGAGTGCAATTAAATGAATGGAGGAAAATGCTGCTGCAGGAGATGGAAGAGGAGCATGAGGACAGGAGAGCGTGCAGGGAAGAAACAGGAGAACATCTGGAGGATCATGGCAGAGCTGATGACATGTCTCGTAGACTCACAGGAGAGTCAGATGCACAGACACTCTCTCCAGCCCATGCTGACCCACATTCTCTCCTCATCAACTTCCATAGCTTCATTTCCCAGGTGCCTTAGAATGCAGGGTTGGGGGAAGAGTCAAGGGCAGCCTCACACTCCACCCATAGGGATATGTCCTGGAACAAAAGGCTATCCTTCACACATCTGCCTGATTGTTGCAGAGGGGAACTGTAATATGCTGCTTTCCCTTCCCCCCCAACCCAAAGTTACCACCCTGAACTGCTTTTCTGTCCCTGCTTCCTTTTGTTCCTAACAGGATCTTTATTGCTTGTGTTGCATGGAGGGAAGGGGTTTATAAGAAAGCATACTTAATGCTGGGGGCACCTTGTTAAGAGCAACATGCATGACTGTTATATTGCTGTTTGGCCATTCAAAAACCTATTTGTCAAAGTCTCTCTGATTTGCAGTGCCCAGTGTCTGGCTGCTCATAATTTGTGACTATGTGCTGTGCCTTGACACCTTTCCCCCCCCAGCATAACATTTTCCCCCTTACTTTCACAGATATTATGGAGCACACAGCTGGCTGCCACAATAATGGGAATTTTGCTTTTGCTGAGGTCTAACCTAGTTAATAAACTGCAACGCCTTCTCTTTAAACACCCAAAAGCACATTCTGCTACCTTTCTGCACTTGCTCAATCTGTAGATGAACTGCTCCTTACTGCAGTCCAGGCTGCCCGTGTATGTCTTCTTGAGCCATAGGTACAAGGGGTAAGGCTAGGTGTTTCCAAGGATCACTATTGGCATTTCAATGCCTCTGATAGTAATTTTCCAGCGTGGGAAGTTTCATCTTGCAGCTTTCTGAAGAGAATGCAGGTCCTAAAGATGTGCGCATCTTGCATCTTTTATGACCATCCCATGTTGATGTCAGTGAACTGGTTCTTGTGATCTACCAGTGCCTGCAACACCATCGAGAAATATCCCTTGCAGCTTATGTATTCTTTGGCAAGATGGTTGGGTGAAAGATTTGTGTTCTATCTACTGCCCCACCATAGTTAGGGAACCCCATCGTGGCAAAGCCCTCAACTATGTCCTAAACATTTCCTAGAGTTACTACCCTTTGTAGCTGAAGTGTGTTGATTGCTTTGGCTACTTGGATCACAACAGCCTCGACTGCAGATTTCCCCACTCCAAACTAATTCACAACTGACCAGTAGCTGTCTTGTGTTGCAAGTGTAAGCAGGGTCAGGGTAAACTCTATCCTGACATCTAGTGGTGAACTGTGGCAAGTGGTGCAAAGAGACTTCAGGGGCTGAGCCCAATTTGCATAGACACACCCACCCTGTCTAGTATGTGCCACAGCAGCCCAAATCGTCACTTTGGCCACTGTGGGAGCCCCAGTCTCTCTGTTATTGAGGCAGAGGGGATAAAAGTGTTGTTACCCTGATTATGCGAATCAAGGACAATGGAATGGTGGAACTGTTTATGACAGAGGGATTCGCCATAAACTAAGTAGCACTCGCTAGACAAGGGGCATGGGTTCCAAACCCAGTCAAATTGAGAGAGGTTGGGGACAGGTCTTGGTACCTGGTGGTGGGGCCCTGTCTGAGGGCCTAAACAACACTGATTGCACTCCCTCCACTGTGGAATATCAGAATTAATTTAGATTCCATTAGGAGTCTAGTTGTGAGCTGTGGAGCTAACTTTGCTGTGGGCCAGCGCTAAGGCTCCTCTGTTATGAGCTGAAATCACTGTGTGCTGTGGTGCGGGCGAGAGCTGAAATCACCGTTGCTGAGGGGAGCCTGGCGCTGTGCTGATAGCAGAGCAGTTTGCAAGGGGCAACCAGCAAGTGCAGGCGGACAGTAGATGCAGCTGGTGGGGTGACCTGAGGGCAGAAAGCGGAGTGGCTGGGGGCGGGCGGT